TTATAATTTGGACGAGTGGCGACTCCCTTTTTCTTATATATTTCACACTTGATTTTTTCATTTGTTTTGAAAGAAATCTTAAGTGGTCGTCAACAGATTGGCGACTCCACTGGGGACTGAACCTAGAATCCCTGGTTTCCATATTCTAGGTTCACGAGGGTCGAGCTAATACTTTAACTTTGGGGAATTTTTCAACTTTTGATTTTCTTTGTTTGTTGAGTCTGTGTGGGTCTTCGTCATTTGTTGTATGTGCTTGTTGTGTGTTGCCTGTTGCTTATTGCTTGTTTGCTCATTGTTTTAGTGGTTACTTTGATTGTTTTGTCTTTGAATAGTTATCTTGCTCTATCTTGACATGCATCATACCTTGCTCACATGTTCATGCATCATATCATCTCACATGCTCATCTATCATTGATATTATATGCTTATTCATCATGCATTATGCTTACATGCCTATTTGCTTGTGTGTGGATATACTCACCTTTTGCACTTGGCTATGGAGTACTCAGTAAGTCTCTTCCCTCTTGTGCGATTATTTATATCTTGTTGCATGCTAAGTGTTGGTTGCTTTGTGTTACTAACCTTTTGCATTTGGCATGGGAGTACGAGGTGAGTCCCTTCTTGCTGTGTAAGTAGGTTTGTTTGTGGATGATATATTTGTTGAGTGCTTTACATGCTTTATTTGATTGCTGTGGGATATATGTTGTTATTTTTGTGGTTGCCATTGTGCAGGTTATTGGAGTGTCATGCCCCTTGCACACACCCACTCTCATTTTGCATTAGATCTGTGTTTGAGGTGAACCCGACCTCTAGTCTGGAATCCTTACGAATCTGGCTTGGAAGAGCAATTCTTCCCGCTTTGAGGAGTAAGATCGGTTCCCGTTAGGTTGTTTCCATTGGTTAATACGACACTTGATGATGTAATATCATTTTGTGTATTAGCTTTTGGAAATATCTCCCGTTGATGCCGAAAGGATAAATGGTTGAGAAGGCCTAATGCCCTTTAGGAAAACATATAGTGGCCTTAGAGAGATACCAACCCTAAGACATGTTTCCCTTAGCATCCCACCCGTGAGGTTAGGAATCTCGTGTCTAAGACACAAAAAGGGGCATTTTACTTCACTAACCTTGTCTCTGCATATGACAGGTTTTCATTTACATTTGAGGTATGATTTGTTATTCATCTCTTGCATTTAGACATCATTCTTGAGGTAAGGAGCATTCCATGCACTTTGTATCTTCACTTTCAACCCCATGCATATATATCAAAAAGAAAAAAAAAGAAAAAGAAAAAAGGAAGAGTTCATGATTGTTTCACATGTCATTCATTTCACATTAAATCTTCCATATGTCTTGAAAATTTCACGTATGTCCATTGTATTGCATTCTCTATCTCATGCGTTGCAAAATCTATTTTCATGTTCATCTCATGTGACATTCTCCATTTTGTTCATTTTAAATTTCATTTTCATCTCATGTTTCACAAAAAAAAAATCACAAAAAAAAAAGAAGCAAAATTCCACCCATGTTTAGTACATTACATGTTCCATCTTATATAAAAATTGCACAAAAAACAAAAAAAATCTCATTCACATGCATTTCACATTGCATTTTCTATCTCAAATTTTCATTCCAAGCATTATTGTCTCTATCTCATATTTCCCATATTTCATAAAAGTTGCATAAAAAAAATTTAAAAATGGTGAAAAATGAAAAAAATGAAAA